TAGCCTTCAGGAAAGCTGTTAAAACCTGGCTATTCCGGCAGGCCTGGGGCTGTTGACCTCTTTGTTGAGGTCCAGCCCTGATTAGAATGAATGCATGTGTTGTGATTTTAAACTGTCTTTTCCTTATTTTTTCTTTCTCTTCCTTTCTTTTTTGTAAGCCGCCCGGAGTCCTTCGGGATTGGGCGGCATATAAATTTTAATAATAAATAAATAAATAAATATTGTGAAATATTTATTTCTAATTACAAATAAATGAAATTTTGTCTTGAAGCATGATGTAGCTTTGATTTATCTTGCCTAAGTGTTAAGAGTTTACTTTACTTCTACTCCCCTCTTCTTTGGGGCAGCCCCTCAGATATTGAAAGACTGATCATCTCTTTCCTCATTAATGTTATTTTGAATTACATGATTTACCTGAATTTGAACAAGAGCAACCAAAGGGCAATTTAAAGAGTCTATAACCATAACTTTTTAAACCTGTTAACCATATCTAAGCCTTTCATAAATCTCAATTTAAAACTATACTGCTGCATGTCTTGATTTGACAAGGTAACATGCTCATAGAAATCCTTCAACTTTCTGCTAATTATAAATTGAAGCATTCCCATATAATTAAATTGCAATTAATTAATCACTGTTAAATGTGTCAAGCACAGTAAACACAATTATATTTACAGAATATTGCACAATCGTTGGCATGGCAGAACTAGTTTGGGCTTTTTCCCCCTCCCACCTATGAAGAATTAATTACAGTATGTAAAACATTTAATAATATACCTCTTTGTTTTTTTCCTGAAATTTAATATCCTTCAGTTTTCACAATCCCATTTGCAACATCAGACAGTTTTAAGAGGATCACATTTTTCTTAATTATATTTTGTACAGGTGACACTTCATTCAATAACATAGTATTTTATGTATAACCGAGAGTTCAGCATCATAACTTATAGTAACAATCTTGCTAATTTATAAAGATGACTGCAACACTTTTAATGATACTTCACCTTCAACCTCATTTCTCTTTACTTCAATATAATGCATATAACATCCACTGATAACATGTGAAGGAAACTCAAACTACAAACATTAAGGCTGAAAGTTTCTTCACATTTGTTAACTTGAACAAAGCCCCTCTTTGAAATACCAAAGCACCCTCAGTTTTTGCCAAAGATTTGTACAGGTGTTTATGTACAAAGAAAACTTCCACTGGGACCATTAGTGAAATGAGTATGTGGGAATACATATAAGCCTTACAAAGATGTAACTATTTTAACATTTAAGAGATGTGTGAAATTAGGGCTTTCCTTTCAAATGCCGTGTATAATTTAAAAAAAAAAACATTTTAAGGCATTACTGAATTCTTATAATGTATTGTATATTTAATGAAAAAAAACCCATATTATTAGGATTGTAAGGGGAAAAAAGTTTGTATCCTATGTGTCATCATTGGTGCTCAGATAGAAGACTACTAAGGAATCCTACCATTACATAGTAAAGTAGGAAGGCTGGAAAAAAAACTTCAGTAGACAGTAACAAATTACTTCCAATGTTGTCAAAAATTACATGGATATATGCCTATGGAGATTGACAGCTTCTTAAATTCCAACTGAATGATGGGGGAATGGAAGGATTTATATTTTTTGCAGTCATCTCTCCCAAAATTGAGTTACAACTGAAGCTTCTTGGATGAGAAGTGAAATGGTTTCAAGGGGGGGAAAAACCCAAGAAATTCCAGTTGCCTTTTGGAAAACCATCTTTGGGAATACAGGTAGTCAATTTACAATCACAATGGAGCCCAAAATTTTATGTTGCTAAGTGAGACATTTATTAAGTGAGTTTTGCCACATTTTTATAACCTTTTATAACTCTTAGCACAATTGTTAAATGAATCAGTGCAGTTAAGTTAATAAAACGGTTGTAAAGTGAATCTGGCTTCCCCATTGACTTTGCTTGTCAGAAGGATGTAAAAGGGGATCATGTGACCCTGGGAAACTGCAACCGTCATAAATATGAACCACTTGTCAAGCCTCTGAATGTAAATCATGTGACCATGCTGCAACAGTCATAAGTGTGAAAAAGGGTCCCTTTTTTCAATGCCATTGTAACTTTGAAGGGTCAATAAACAAATTGTTGTAAGTCGAGGACTACCTGCACATGGATATACAGTTAACCATCTGACTTTAAGCTATCTTGAGATAATTTTCTTTACCTTTTTCAAAGCTATCATACACTGAGAATCTAAGTTTACTTATTTGCCATCTTGCCTTCTACTTTAATTTCTTATGGATAAATTTTGAAGAAGTCTTTAGAAGCCATAAATAATAACAACAATAGCAACAGCAACAATAGTAAGAGCCACCTATGCAAAGAAGCTGAAGAAACAGTAGAACACCTGATAAGCTGCTGCAAGAAGATTGCAAACTGAAAACCAGCAGCAGCATGACAAAGTAGCAATAATGGTGCATTGGAAGATCTGCAAGAAATATCATTTGCCTGTAAGCAAGAACTGGTGGGACCATAAAATAGAGAAAGTCATAGAAAATGAAGAAGTTAAATTGCTCTGGGACTTCAGAATCCAGACAGACAGGCACCTGCCACATAACACCCTGGACTTAACAGCTGTTGATAAGAAAGACAAAAAAGTCTGGATAGTGAATGTGGCAGTGCCTGGAGACAGCAGAATAGAAGAGGAAGAACTGGAGATGATAACAAAATACAAATGCCTACAAATAGAAACAGAATGACTATGGCAAAGGCAAGCAAGGATAGTACCAATAGTAATAAGTGCCTTGGGTGCAGTCCCAAAAAAACTGGAGCACCACTTTAACACCATAGGCATTGACAAATCTGCCATCAGACAATTACAGAAGGTGGCTTTACTTAGAACTGCTTCCATCCTGCGAAGATATGTGTAACACCATCAAACATCCAGATTTGCCTATCCCATGTCCTTGGAATGGACTGGATAGGTAGACAAAAATGCCAAACCCAGACTGAACATCTGGCTGACTGTGCAATTAAAAACAACAATAATAATATCCCCATTCTAAAGTTACCTGACCCCAAATCCCAAGAAGTGAAAAAAGACGATATGAATTAGGTTGTATCTCTCCTATCCCAATAAGCAGTTCTCTTTCTCCTTGAGCCTCTCCAAAGGAAGCAGTCTCTTAATCCCCAAGGACACATTTTTACACCAAGAAAGCCACTCAACTTTCATTGTATCTTCTCCATTCCTATTATCTAACTTTTCCATCCACTGAACTATACAAAGCCTGGTACCGTGGCGATTTGACAACTAAAGAGCAACAGCAGGAGGAAACGCTGTGAAAAACAAATCTCTCTTAACACTATTATTCAACCCAAAGTATGAAGTACAGGAAGTCCTTGATTTACAACAGTTCACTTAGTGACCATTTCAAGTTACAACGGCATTGGAAAAAGTGATTTATAACCATTTGTTACCATTGCAGCATCCCCATAGACAAGTGCTTTACATTCAGATGCTTGACAACCGACTCACCTTTATGACGGTTGCAGCATCATGTGACCCCCTTTTGCAGACTTCCAACAAGCAACGTCTACAGGGAAGCCGGATTCACTTAACAACCTTGTCACTAATCTTAACAACTGCAATGATTCACCTAACAAAGAAGACAAGAAAAGCAGGGCAAAACTCACTGAACCAATGTCTCCCTTAGCCACAGGTGCACCCGTGTTTGCAAATACGTGAATAAACTTCTTTGCTGCTTTAAAGTTGCTGTCTCAGGTAGTTCCACATGCGAACATGCACCGTTTATAACTGAAGTAACCTGGAATTAAGGAGAAACTGCCTAAAAGCGAGGGCAATCAACCAGTGGAACAGCTTGCCTTCAGAAGTCATGCATGCTTCATTACTGGAGACCTCTTTAAAGAGAGACCGGACAGCCACTTGTCTGAAACAGTGAGTATAGGTTCCCCTGCTTGAGCAGGGAGCTGGACTAGAAGACCTCCAAGATCCCTTCCAGCTCTATTCCTATTCCTAAATTTTGGGCTCCATTGTGGTCGTAAGTTGAGGACTACCTGTAGCGGGAAGAAGCGACACAGAGAAAATAATAATAATAATAATACAATTAAAGGCTAGGGAGACCTCCGTTGGCATCTCACCTGCATGCCCGGAGCGCCGGGGTCCACACCCGTGTCTAAGACGGCTAAGAGAACACCCCGTCCATCATACTCCGGGTACCGGGAAAGGAAGGAGGTCGCTCCGGTTTCCTTCTTGGGCAGAAGCCCTTGAAAGGGGAACTGCTCGTCTCCAGCCGACGCCGCCATGTTGAAAACAAGAGGAGAGGGAAGGAAAGATTAAAAGAGACGCCAGACACGCAACCGACACGGAAAGACAAGAAGGGGCCGCGCAGCCCGAGGTGACGCAACGGCTCTCTTGGGAAGAAACGCTCCCGAAGGAAGAAAGGGAGGAAAAGGGCGCAGGCTTCTTTTTCCTCCGAACGCATGCGCCGCCGTTCTAGCCAATAGCAACCATAAGCACAGCCCGGCAAGGATGCCACGTCACGAGCACTCTCAGCCTGCGAGGGAGATTTGATCGTTCCTTGGCTTGGCTGAGCGAGAGTTGGAGCCGCCTCTCAAATTACAGCGCGGCGCGCTCTTGAGGTGTGGACCAATGAGAAAGGGGAAGGCTTTCTTAAAGGGGCAGCAGGTTGATTAATAGCCTGCTTTGAGCGCTCTTCCGCCTCTCCTTCCCGCCTTTCCTACTTTCGCGGCTTCCAGTCTCGCCTGTAGTAGACTCACCGCCCTCGGCTCCGGCTTATTTCAAACAACGCGAGATCTTAATACCATTTCTTCGCTGGTGTGGGACGGGGAGGGTGGTCGCTTCGATAGAACGGAATGGAACGCAATAGCAATAATAAGAATAGGAAGAGCTGGAAGGGACCTTGGAGGTCTCCAGTCTAGCCCAGGAGTCTACAAACTTGGCAGCTTTAAGACTCGTGGACTTCTGGGAGTTGAAGTCCACAAGTTTTAAAGCTGCCAAGTTTGCAGGCTCCTGGGCTAGCCCCCTGCTCAAGCAGGAGAACCTATACTAACCATTTCAGACAAGTGGCTGCCCGGTCTCTTTTTAAACACCCGACTAGGTGGCTCGGTGGCTAAGACAATGAGCTTGTCGATCAGAAAGGTCGGCAGTTCAGCGGTTCGAATCCCTAGTACGGGTCTCCTGCGTGAGCAGGGGTTGGGCTAGATGACCTCCAAGATCCCTCCCAACTCTGTTACTGTTACCTCCAGTAATGGAGCACCCATGACTTCTGAAGCCAAGCTGGTTGATTGTCATCACTGTTAGGCAGTTTCTATTATTTTATGTATTAGTTTGTCAAACATGCACAAGATAGCAGGTATAAGTGTGAACAGGGACATGAAGAAAGGAAATGAATACAAATAAGTGAGGGCAGTGGAAGAGGGACGGTAGGCATGCTGGTGCGCTTATGGACTCCCCCTTCTCCTTAATTCCAGGTTGCTTCAGTTATAAACAGTGCACGTTGGCATATGGAGCTACCTGAGACAGCAACTTGAAAGCTACCTGAGACAGCAACTTGAAAGCAGCAAAGTTTATTCACCTGTGTTTATTCAAACACAGATGCGGAACAAAGCATTCATCAGCTTTTATCCCCTTAAGAGACAAGATCATTTCCCCCTCTCCTTTTTGACACAGCATCCTAATCAATTCTAAACGCGCCCTCCAGCTTTGTTCAAAGAATTTTAACAAATTCATAATATTCATAACCTTTTTCCTTGTTAGTATAAGCTCTGTTGTTATTTTTGTTCTTCCTCTGCTTGCGGTTTTAGCTGGCGTTCAGGCTGTCGTTTCACACAGCTGATTCTTAGCTGTTGGCTGCTAAATACAGGTAATTTTAAAACAGCTTATAATTGTGCCATTTTACATATCAAACATTTGCCTTTCTAGAAACAATACCAATTCCATTTTCTTATACAAAATAATAATACTCTTTAATAATTATTCTTTTAAATGATCATTTTCCTTTTATTCAACACTTCTCTCTGATTAGTTTCCAAACGTTTCTTGTCCTGCCGTCTGGTGCTTTGGAAAATATTTTGATCTCCTCTTCTTTGTGGCAGGCCCTCAAATACTGGAATACTACTAAAAAACATAGTTCTAAAAATAGAGCTAAAAATTTGGGGCATGTAATGATGTATAACTATACAATATTATGATGAGAATAGCTGGAAATTGTAACCAGGTCCACACTTTGGCCAAAAAATAAGTTTGGGGGTGGGTTAAAATATAATTGCTATATATGTGTACTTTTTTTAAAAAAGGAGGATATATGTTAAAATTATTAATATGAAAGATGTTTATTGAAATGAAATTGCTAACACCGTGAACATTAAATGGAGCCCGCTCAGATGCTGAAATAGACCATGTAAATGAGATGAAGAGTGTGGAAGAGAGGAGAGAGGCAAGAGGAAGAAGAGAGGGTTAGGAGAAAGGGTAGGGGGACAAGAAGAGAAAGAAGGAGTGGGAAGAGGAGAGACGAGAAGAAGAGAGGAAGGGGAAATAGAGAAGAGAAAGATGACAGGAAAGAAAGGAGGAAGGAAGGAGGAGAGAGAGAAGAAAGTGATGGAAAGGGTATAAATGTGGTATATGGAGAGCAGAAGAGCTAATGATAGTCTTTGGGGGTTGATAGTAAGACGAATTGACATAATATTGAATAATACAAAATAGTGTTGATTATGTAATGGTATACATGTGGTTATTTGTGGGTCAAAAGACCCTTTCACAGGGGTCACCTAAGACCATCGGAAAACGCATATTTTCAATGGTTTTAGGAACTGAGACACCAATTTTATGGTTGGGGGTCACCACAACATGAGGAACTGTATTAAAGGGTCGTGGCATTGGGAAAGTTGAGAACCACTGTTCTAGTCCAAACCCTTACCTAGGCAGGAAACCCTATACCATTTCAGACAAATGGTTATCAAACATCTTCCTAAAAACTTCCAGTGTTGGAGCATTCACAACTTCTGGAGGCAAGTTGTTCCACTAATTAATTGTTCTGTCAGGAAATTTCTCCTTAGCTCTAGGTTGCTTCTCTCCTTGATTAGTTTCCACCCTTTGTTTCTTTTTTCTACCTTCAGGTGGTTTGGAGAATAGTTTGACTTCCTCTTCTTTGTGGCAACCCCCTGAGATATTGGAACACTGCTATCATGTTTCCCCTAGTCTTTCTTTTCATTAAACTAGACATACCCAGTTCATGTGCATTTTGTTTTTCTTGCCTAAATGTAGAACCTTACTTTTTTCACCATTGAATTTCATTTTGTTAGATAGTGCCCAATGTTCAAGTTTGTCTTTTAGAAGTTTCCCAAAAGCATTTCCAAAACTATTATTGAATAACACAAAATAATTAGTTAGGAATGTAACTGAAATAATATTGCAAATAAAGGAGCAGTGGTTCTCAACCTGTGGGTTGGGACCCCTTTGGGGGTCGAATGACCTTTCACAGGGGTCGCCTAAGACCATTGGAAAACACATATTTTCAAAAAATACGGAAAACATAAAATAATTTTATGGTTGGGGGTCACCACAACACGAGGAACTGTATTAAAGGGTCGCAGCTTTTGGAAGGTTGAGATCCACTGATTTAGAGAAAGGCGTTGGATGCCCTGAATGTATGCTGGAAAAGGACGATGACTGTGGAGACACAAGTGCAAGACTGGGACATTCACAGGGTGCCGCTCAGCTAGTCCAATGCTCTTTTTTATTCCTGCCTACACCCCAACTTGTAGTAAAAATGGAGGAGCCCTTTCAGTTCCCGTGACCCGACAAAAGCGCGAACGTCATAAGCGCGCCGGCAAAACCGCGGCGCTAAAACCGCGATGTCAAAAGCGCGTCAACAACAGCGCGCCGACAGAAGCGAGATTTAAGTTAAG